AAAAAAAAAAAAAAAAAAAAAAAAAAAAAAAAAAAAAAAAAAAAAAAAAAAAAAAAAAAAAAAAAAAACCTTCTCCTCCTCCTCCTCCTCCTCCTTCTCCACCGGGCCGGATCCGCGCAGCTTTGCAGCGGATGGCAGCAGCGAGCGCCCTGGGAAGCGTGTCCAGCTCCTCCCTGACACCGCTGCTCTGCTTTGCCTCCAGCTCTCCTTCCCCACCCACCCCACAAACCCCCGTTCTTCCCCAGATTGCAGCCTCTGCCCCGTTTTCCTCCACTTTTTAGCTTTTTATCCCACCTCCCTGGCCACCGAGCCGCTCTTGGCCAAGGGCACTGCTTGGCTGGTGCCGTGGGCTGCCCTTTTCCCTGTGGTTTGCTTTCGGGCGGCTGCGGAGGCGGCTGCGGTCACGCAGGCCAGAGCGTGGCCGACGCATGGCATCCTTTGTGCCGTGCCTTCTGCACCGTGCACCGTCACCAGCTGCTTGGCCAGCACAAATCTGAGGATCGGGCACCTCCCTCGTCCCCATGCACGGCATCTCTGGGCGCAGCGCAGGAGCAGGCGAGCAGCTCACTTGGTTTAAAAGAAGTCGAGCTTTTCACCCTTTTCTGTGTCAATTCAGATCCAGCCCCACCATCGCTGCTGCCGGTCAGATCCACGGGTGACAGCGAAGGCGGCGTCCCGCCCCGGAGCTTCCTTCTCCCATGGGACGCAGCTATGGTTTCCCAACCCCCTTTTAATTTCCTCTTGGGATTTTTGTTGTGTCGCTGAATTGCGCAGCAGGTTTAGTGGGTTACCCCAAATTAATATTCAAGGGGGCTGAGGACAGCAAGGCATGACGGGCTGCTGTTCCTATAATTTATTCTTTTTTTGATGAAGGGGATTTGTTACAAAGCTGAGCTGCTCTTCATTCTGCTTTCATATGGTTTTGACTGAGTGCTCGGTTTCAGCTTTGTCCTGGGAAAGGTGGGGAGGGACTCTCAGATCGCAAACATCGCGTTTAGCACCTGCATGGCCCCGTAGCGCAGGACACGTGGGCTGCACAGGTGTCCCAGCATCACCCAGCTGCCGGGGACCTCGTGGCCCCGCAGCCACCACAGCAAGCGGGGACAAAGTTTCCCACCGAGATGCGCAGATTTCTGCTGTGGGATTCAGGATGGGTGCAGGCTTCTGGGAGGGAAGTTTGTCTTCATTTGTGCTTCTCGTTTTATGAAATATCTTGGAGTGTATGCAGCAAGGGAGGGGAGGACGTTTGGGGTCAGGGTGGGCTGGTGGGGAGCTGGCATGGTTGTCCCCCCATCCTGCTTCCCTTTCCCCACCACCTCCCTGGGGCAAATAACAACCCCATCCCCTTCTTCTCACCCCGCAGCAGAGGCCAACATGACCACGTCCTCCCCGTGCTAGGGCTGCCCCCCGCCACCTCGGTGACGTCCCCAGCCCAGCAGCGAGGATGCGTGCCTGGAAGGCGGTGGCCAGCACGCTGGCGCTCAGCGGGGCCGATGTGGTGGTCACCACGCTGCTCTACGCCCACGGCCGGGGCGGCCGGGATGTCCTGCAGGACCTGCGGCACTTCAACATCTTTAACTCACTGCTGGACATCTGGGGGGGCTGCCTCTACCGCAGCTGTGTGCTGCTGGGGGCCGCCATTGGGGTGGCCACCAACACGGCCTACGGCCCCCGGCGCCTCAGGGCATCGCGGACCTTCATCGCCGTTGTCTGCCTCCTCATGGGTATCTACATGATGGTGAAGCTGCTGCTCTACTCGGAGGTGCGGAGGACCATCAGGGACCCCTGGTTCTGGGGGCTCTTTGCCTGGACCTATGTGGCGCTGGCGGCCACCTTCGGGCTGTGGCAGCTGCTGGCCTGTGTCACCTCCTCCCGCGAGGCGCTGGGGCCCAGCTCCGAGTCCCGCGCCGAGGCAGAGGAGAGCTGTGACGGCGGTGCCCCAAGGGACAAGCGGGAGGAGGCGGCGGGTCCCACCATCCATAAGCTGCTGTCCTACACCAAGCCGGATGCCTTCTTCCTGGGCATTGCCTCCTTCTTCCTCCTCGTGGCCGCACTGGGTGAGAGAAGGGACTGGGGGGACCGCAGTGTGCTCCCGTCCTCACTGGGAAGGAAAGAGCCACGGTGGGGGGACTTGGCAGCATCCCAGGCTTGCTTTTTTGGGTGCGCTGGGTGGCATGTCCCGCACAGGCTGGGTGAAAAATGTAATGGGGCAAAAAAAAATGCAATAGGGGATAAAACGCAATAGGGGATAAAATACACTGGGGAATGAAACATCCCTGCGTGCCACTCAGGGCTGTGCCTCCTGAGACATCTCATGCAATGGCTGAGTATCTCTGTGGTGGGGATGGCGTTGTCCACAGGCCATCGCAGTTGGACATACAGGTCCTGTGCCGATCCTGCGCGGTGGGGCTGAAACCCCATGTCCTGTGCTTGTCCGGCAGGGGAGACCTTCCTGCCCTACTACACGGGGCTGGCCATCGACGGCATCGTGGTGCAGAAGAGCATGGACCGCTTCTCCACGGCAGTGCTGGTCATGTCGCTGCTTGCCATAGGAAGGTAATCGCAGGGGCTGGTTTTGGCCCTGGCGAGGAGGAGTTTGGGGTTCTCCCGCAGGAGCTTGCAGTGGCAGCGGTGGGCACGAGCTGTCTCACCTGCAGCCGCTCCACTGGGTCCCTGCCAGACCCCAGGGATGTGCTTTGATTTCTCTGCGCCGTCACGGTGCAGAGAGGCTGTGGTGGCAGTCACAAGGCCATTGCATAGCCCTCCGTGTCCGTCTACTAGTGGTGGGGGAGCAGAAGCAGACACAGGGAACGGGCTCCCTGGGGAACATCGGTCTGGCAGCGCTGCATCTCCTCCCGAAACTTGTTACTACCAGGGTTAGGACCAGCCGTCCCCATGCTGGTAGCGCCCAGAGGAGGTGTGGGCTGGATTAGTCATTGCTTCCTGGGGTGGAATGTGGTACCCGCACAGCATTGCCCAAGCCCTTGGCCCGGGCGTCGGGGTGTTTGTGTTGCTGAGGAGCGGGTTTCGTGTCCATTGGTCTATAACGTTTCTTATCTGCAATTAGCTCATTTGCCGCAGGTATCCGGGGTGGTGTTTTTACGCTCATATTTGCAAGACTGAACATTCGCCTTCGCAACTGCCTCTTCAGGTCGCTGGTGTCTCAGGAGATGAGTTTCTTTGATGAGAATCGCACAGGTTGGTTCCTCTTTCCCCCGGATTTGCTCTAACCCCTCTATCCCATCCCAGTATTTTTTTTCCCCTTGGTTTGCCCTACCAGCACATAGCAGATTGGGGGCAGCTAGAGATGGCACCCAAATGCTTGTGTTCAGAAAGAGTGGCAGAAAGCTCTTCCCTTTCGGGTGGCTCCCACCATGGGGTTGGGACAGGATTGCCCAGCACCCTGGGGATGTCCCATTGCCACCAATCAGCCTGACATCCAGCAGCCCCAAGGCTGACGTGTTCATCTCCGTTCATCCCCAAAACACCTACTTTTCTCCTCCCGTGCCTGCTGGTCGGCCGCTCTCCTGCTCTGCTCTGGGCATGGGAAACCTCAGATGTGTGAAGCTTGCTGGGCATGCTTGTGGCTTTCCCTGCTTGCCATTCAGTCCTGTCCTGGTCCATGCCGCTCTGGTGTGGTCCCAGCCCGCTGTAACTTTTCCCACATTTAATTTCTTCTCAGTGATATTTTTAGTTTTGAGGCTATTGCCATATTTAGCAATCGCTGCATGGTGCCCTGGTAGCTGAGGACACCGGAGATGTTATTGTAAGTGGGATATGGGTAACCCTGGACTAATACTTACACAAAAGCACAGGAGGTCAGCTGGACTCAAACACGGGCCAAGCATTTAGGAATTCAGGGTGATGTTTGCTGGCTGTAACGTTCAGTTCCATCAAAGGACACCACAGAAGCTTTGCCCCTTCGTAGCTAGACCCACGTCCTCAGGGTCACTTGGGTCGGCTCCAGGCTACAGGGCACATGGCTAAACCCAAACAGCCCTCTCCGAAGCCGCCTCATGCTCCTCCACAGGGCATGCTGTGCCTGGCCCTGGCTGGTCCTGCCAGGACGGCAGGGAAAGGTGCCAGCAGTCCCTGGCAAGCTCCTGGAGACATTTAGAAATGAACTTGGGGCTGGGTTGACAGCTCTGGAGGTGCATTCAGCAGCCCAGCAAACGCTCCACCCACAGACCCGCTGCCCCTCTGTGTGCCCACAGGGTGCCCTCTGGTGTAGGGTGCTGCTGCAGTCCCCTTTGCTGTCCTGCAGCCATCCTTGGTGACCCAGGGACGTAGCTCATGCCTTCAGATGCATTTCATGTCCCTCATGCATGCAGCAATTCAAGCTCCTCTGTTTTGCTTCGCATCCACAGCGGTGGAGAGTCACCCCACTTCCATGCCGCCCTTCAGACCCCCAGCAAGGGGTGGGTTGAATGGGGAGCTCTGTCTGTCCTCTGGCATGGGACATGGGACACCGCTAGGCAGTGACCTGCTGTGGTGACGTGTCCCTGCTCTCCCCAACCCCTCATTGCTGCAGGGGATGTCATCTCCCGCCTGACATCGGACACGACCATCGTGAGCGACCTGGTCTCCCAGAACATCAACATCTTCCTGCGCAATGTGGTGAAGGCCACAGGGGTGATCTTCTTCATGTTCAGCCTCTCCTGGAAGCTCTCGCTCGTCACCTTCATGGGCTTCCCCATCATCATGCTGGTGTCTGATGTCTATGGGAAGTACTACAAGGTAGGCAGGAGAAGCTGGCATGGCCATGGTGTGCCACAACGCTGGGCTGTTCCCCTTGTGAAGCCATCGCGGAGATTGTGGGTGGCCTTGGAGCTGGTGGGACTGATGCTCGGGTGCTTTGCTGCCAGCAGTTGGGGCAGGAAGGCGGCATTAAACCTGTATGGGTATAGCCTCGGCTCTTACCTTGCTTCATGCTCAGGAGTGGAAGCATCTCAGGTCTGACAGGAGAGGTAGCTTAGCCGTGGGATGTCGCATATGCGCCTGCCTGTCCTCATGCAATCTGTCCTCTCCCCTCCCTTTGGAGTGATGGGTGGGGGTTAAACCCAGGGCCGAGCTTCCTCCCTCTGCCTGGGGCTAGTGTGGGCCAAAGGCCATCTCCTGTGGCTAATACTGTGTCCCACGGACCATGCGAGTCCTGCACTGCTGCTCCCTGCATCGGTTATTGGAGCTTTCCACTGTGCTGGGGATGTGGCATGCAAAGGTGCTGCCAAAGCAGGGCCCTTGGGTGCTGCCTCTCCTGGCCGTGGCTCCTCCTGTGGGTCAGGCACTCATGAGAGGAGCGGAGCTGCCCTTGGTCTCCAGACCTGTCCCTGACTTGGGAACTCCTGGAAGGGCTCCTGGGCCAGGCTGACCCTCTCCCATCAGGGCACCGGGAGCAGCGGCTCTGCCGCAGGCTTCCTAAGTGACCCTGGGCATGGCACTTCACCTCCTGCAGCCCAGGTCCCTCCTCAGGGACAGCACGACGAATCTGTTCCCCTCCTGGCACAGTGCCCCAGGCTGTCCTGGGGTGTGGGATATAGCCCAGTGCTCAGCCTTGTTGCCCATGGCCTTGGAAAATGTCACCGTGCCACCTTTTCCCAAGCCCAGCAGAGCCCGGGGTGTGCAGGGAGAGGTGCCACAGGCAGCCTGGCGCCCGCTGAGCCCCCTCTGCCTCCCCCCGCTCCCCGCAGAAGCTCTCCAAGGACGTGCAGAACGCCCTGGCCAAGGCCAACAACACTGCTGAGGAGACCATCTCGGCCATGAAGACCGTCCGCAGTTTTGCCAACGAGGAGGCAGAGGCGAACGTGTACTGGCAGAAGCTGCAGCAGGTGTACAAACTCAACAAGCGGGAGGCCATGGCTTACACCTACTACGTCTGGTCCAGCGGGGTAGGTGGCCAGCGCCAGCGCTTCCCCATGTGGGGCTGGGGACGGGCAGGGCACGTTGCTTCGGATCCCAAAACACACATGGCTTGATGTGCATGCATCTCCTTTGCTTCTAGGGAGCTTTGCAGGGTGAGCCCAGCCTTGATGTCCGCTGCCTGTAATCCCCTGTCTCTTAATTTATTTTTTTTTTTTTCACTTATCAAAAAACATATTCCATTCCCTCTTAGGGCAGTGCTGCATCGTGCCACTGAACGGTCTGTTTTCTCTTGCAAATAAGAATATAATTGATAACTGCTCAAGGTCATGGAAAACCCTGTGTTTCTGTGTTGCTGCATTGCGTGCCTGTGCCAGCTCATCTCCAGGGCTCCGGCTGGGAAATAGCCGTGGCGTTGGTTGAGCTTCTGCTCAGAAAGAGAGATTTTCTGTGTGTGGGTGGTGGCAGGGGGAGGCTGCTGGGGTTTGGATTTGGGGTTTTTTGAGGTTTTTTTTGCAAAATGCTTTTTCATCATTCAAGACCAGATTGTTTGGGACTTCTACATCGGCTGCTAACTAAGGCTGTGCAAAACCCTCACGTGAGAGGCTGCCCTTATCTCTGCACATTCAAGGATCTAAGTAGCCTCTGGTGAAGGGTTTGCGAGTTATGGTGCCCTCGTGCAGCTGTGGGAGACTTTATGGCTTCCCAAGTTTGGAAGCAAAATTTGAGCATTTTTAGCATTGTTTCTGAGCTCCCAGGTGAAACCAGAGCGTGAACTGGGTCACACAGCACAGATCCCACTGAGTCAAAGGTGGCAAAACCCCTCAAAAACTGCTTCTGCGGGGCTCACGTAGAAAGAAGCCGATGGATTTAGCACAGCCCTGGTAGAATCCTTCTCGGAGGGAACACAGGACCTTGAGGTCAGATTGTGGCAGAGCAATAGAGGAGGAATTTTTTTCCCCAGTATTTTTGTCTGTGTGAATTTACAGCCTGTCCCGCAAATGTCACACAGAGCACCAGGGCATCGCCACTTTCCTGAGCACCCAGGCAGCGTGGAACAAAACCAGCTGAATAAAGGCAGGGGCTGGTATTTGTCATATCAGAGCTGATCTGTCTCCTTTCTAGAGTAGGTGGTACCCCCCCACACTGATTTCAGGCAAGAGTTGAGGTTGTGCTTCAGGGACTTGTACATGCCAGGAGGATTTTTGCATTAACTCTTGGCTTGATTTTGTGCTCTAAATGAAAATGTGTCACATTCATATAACAGAAGGTTTATTTTAGTGGTGAGGTGACTGCATGTGTTGGATAATTTGAGTGTAGATTATTATGCTTGAGGACGTTAGTCTTGAGATGCTCTATTATTTCAGGTAAATTTTCCCTCCTTGGCTGTTGCCTGTCTGAACTTCTGTTCTGTTGAAAGATCCCAGCCCAGTGCCTTAAATCAGCCCCTGTACTGAAGTTGTTTTTCCCTTCTCATATCCATGCTCGCTGCTAGGGCTGTCAGCTGTACGCTGTCAGGGATGCTCAGTTTGGGGCTCAAAGAATAAATGTCAGCACATGTATTGTGGGCTGTTGTGTGAGTAATTACAAATGCACCAAAATGCAGTTGTCCTTGCTGATTTTGGGGTCTTTTCTTGCTTTCAGCTGACCCTCCTGATCGTCCAGGTCAGCATCCTTTACTACGGTGGGCACCTCGTGATCTCTGGGCAAATGACAAGCGGAAACCTGATATCCTTCATCATTTATGAGTTCGTCTTAGGAGACTGCATGGAGGTGAGTTTGGTTTCTCCCTCTGGGCTACCCTGTATCAAGATGATACTTGTCTTCTAGAAAGTCCCAGGGCAGTCGCAGGGCTAGATCCAGTGTTGACCTCCCTGTGATGCATTTCCTTGGCGCTGTGGCTTTGCCCACCGCTGGGCTCATTCTCCCCTCTGCTCCCCGCTCCCCTCCTGCTGTGGCCTCACAACCTGAACGCACCTGAAGCAGCTCATCCCCCAATAAGGCAATCGGGACCAAAGGGGTCAGGTTGGCCCTGCTGAAGGGCAGAGTCCTGGCTGCCTCCCAAGCACGTTTCCTGGCATGAAGGATGCAGGGATTACAAAGCTGCCTGTTAAATTTCAGGCTTCATTAAAAACTTAACCCCGGAATAGGCTGCAAGCTGCTGCGTTGGCAGTGCGTTAGCAAGATGGGATTGTGGGTGGGATGGTAGAGCCCACCCGGGGCTGCCTTCCCCTTGCAAAGGCGTAAGCTTGGCTAATTGAGGCAGAAACGATCAAGTCGAGGTTTCCTCGCAGCCAAGTGTGGTTTCGGCAGTGCTTCAGCCTTCACGCAGCAGCAGAGCAGAGCTGGAGGCAGCATGCCTGGCTTTCACCATCTGTTTGGATGACTGCAGGCTCTGGTGGTGTTTTCAGGCTGTGTTTTTGGTGTGTTTGGGTTGGGTTGGGTTTTTTTTCCCCTCCTGATGGGAGGGGCAGTTGCAGTACAAGCTGTTCTGCAGCTCTGCGTTTAATATTGAAAAGAGCCGACATGATGGGGCATTTATCCCAGCGAAGCCGGTGTCAGCGTGCAGCAGTTGTAGTTGGGAAAGCGCAATGGTAAATCCACTAGGCCCATATCCCGGCAGGGAACAGCCATATCAGCTGCCAAACGGTTGTCTACAAAGGTCCAGCCTGAAGCTGCTCTGCGTTTGTGCTAGGGAACGAGCCGGCTGCCCTCAGGAGCTGGTGCGATGTGCTGCCGTACGTGGACTGTTCAATGATTGGGTTGAGGAGCTGCTGGTCTTGAGCAAAGAGAGATAGGTGGAGGATTCTGGTGGAAGCTTGGGTCATGTATCTCCTGGCATACATCTTCTCTTCCCAATCAGTCTGTTTCCTTCTTCTGTTCCCCTCTGGGTCTACCCATGCACAAACCCCTCTAGATGCCCTTTCCCTGGATGTGTCCATATATCCGCTCTGTACACTGCATAGGGGAAAAGCTTTCTTTTTCTGTGTCTGATGACTGTAGTTAATGTCAGATGATAGACTTGGGAAAGCTTCAGCCGTTCTCCTTACAATTCACACCAATTGCCTTTTCCATCGCACGGGAGGGTCTCACCGTTGCCTCTTCCCTTCCAGTCTGTCGGCTCTGTCTACAGCGGCCTGATGCAGGGAGTGGGAGCTGCCGAGAAGGTGTTCGAGTTCATCGACCGCAAGCCAACCATGGTGAATGACGGGTCGCTGGCCCCAGACCATGTGGATGGGAAGGTGGAGTTCAGAAATGTGACATTTTCCTACCGCACTCGCTCTGCAACGCAGGTTCTCCAGGTGAGCCTCGCGGGCACAGAGCATTTCCCACGCCACGAGGCATCACGCACTGCTTCTCCATCGCAGCAGTAACCGATCCCCAGCCCACGGGAAATGTCAGCTGCCCTTTTGGAGATGCGTAAAGGCAGGCTCAACGGCATGCTGGAAAACAGATTATAAGGAATAGCGGATGTTTAGGGCTGGCCTTCCCTACAAGGAATGAGATTTATTAATAAAACCCTTGTTCCCCGCTCAGGCATTAAACACGTCAGTATGGTACAGGGCTTTGTGCCAAGCTGTCTCAGACCGTTTCCATGGGAGAGGGGCTGGGGTCACGGGGCAGGGAGAGGCAGCAAAGAGATTAGTTTGCTTTGCAGTTTTTAGAGGTCTTGCTACATCAGCAGGCAAATTTGAAGCAATTTTGGAGGCTTCTTGCTTCCTCAGAGCCAGGAGAGATGGCTGATGTGGCACATCACCAAGGTGGAGGGTCACCGTGGCCAGATTTCAGCTACCTTTCTTGCATAGTGCCCGAGCCACTGCCCCGGGACCCTGGGAAAAGCCAGGACCTGAGCATGCTCTCCCTTCCATGTTGCAGAATGTGTCCTTCACCCTGCACCCTGGCAAAGTGACAGCGCTGGTGGGTCCTTCGGGGAGCGGGAAGAGCTCCTGTGTCAACATCCTGGAGAACTTCTACCCTCTGCAAGACGGGCAGGTGCTGCTGGACGGGCGTCCCATTAACATGTACGATCACAAGTACCTGCACTCAGTGGTACGAGCGACTGATACGTGTATTCTAGCTATCGCCTGCTGTGATCAGAGGGGATGGATGGTAGCATTGCATGTTACTTTGGATTTGATCTGGCAACTTCTGAAATGTCCAGAAAACTGGAGGCTGGAGGTGGTCCAGGAAATGAATTCAGATAATTCGTGGGGGTGGAAGGGAAAGGGATGGAGAATGGTTTCATGGGGAGGGGGAAGTCTTCTGAAAACAGAACAAGAAACATGTTTTGTTTTGTATATTTTGGCCAACACAGTAGAAATATGTTTTTAGTTGTTGGATTAATTATCGTCTAAATTGGGTTTGGAAAAAAAGTGTTTTGCATTCCTCCAGCACTTGCTACCTTAAAATCTTAAAGTAATTCTCAGCTAAAGGGGAGTTAAACCTCTCGGGATCCTGGCAGCAGCTGGAGCACCGGAGGGGCTGGGTGGTTTGCCCAGGATAGAGGTCCAGGCCCCTCAGCTCTTGTCTGTGTGTCAGCACAGATCAGCCTTCATCTCCTCTGCAAGTAACTGCCTTCTTTGTTTGCCCCCAGATGCAGGAAAACCTGAAAACAATTGATCAGAGACAGGCTGGAAAGCCAAAGTCAGTGTGACTAATTTACATTCCCTGCCCGTACTGAGTGAAAATTAGAAGACAAGCAAGCCTTTCAGTTTAGAAAGCCTAGTGTGGTGTTAGGAGCATGGGGAGAAGTCAATTAAAATATGACACTGTCCCGCTGGCTCTCTTCATGCCCAGTTCTGAGCAATAATTTGCAGGGTTCAATTTATTTTAATATTGAGTGTTTGACAAAGCAGGCTGAATGTGAGAGTGAGCAACAGCGGCTGTAAGGTAGGACAGGGAGGCTGTTGCTAAGCAATTAAGGAATTGCAGCAGCTACGTCCGTAACTTGCTAATTTTGAATTAAAAGATGCAGGAGGGCTCATTCACATGGCCTAAGCGTGATTGCTGGCCTTGAATGGAAAATCAGCAAGGCCCTGGGAGAGGATCTCTCCCGCCTGTCTTGTCCCAGCAACTGGTTTCCCATACTGGGAAAAGCAAACAGTGATGGGAATGACAGGTCTGGAGCAAAACCACAGCAGGGTCTTGGAGGGGGAAGCCTGTCCCAGATGCCAACGTACCAGCATGACATCAGTTTTCTTTCCTGTGAAATGGTTTCCCAGCAGATGATGCAAACTGGGCTGGGGCTGCCGCTGGGCACCCCATCATTAGCATCCTCACTGGAAGCTCACATTGAGGCACTTGTCTGTCTTGGTTTAATGGTGAGGCTCTGCCTGCTTGAGTCCTTACCCAGCAGGAACAAATGCCAATGATCTGAGACACTGGCTAGTGTGTCTTCTGCTCCCAACCGCCTGCTCTTCCCTTCCTTTGTGCAGATCTCCCTGGTAAGCCAAGAGCCAGTGCTGTTCGCCCGCTCTATTGCGGATAATATTTCTTACGGCTTAACTTCAGCCTCCTTCGAGTCGGTTGTTCAGGCTGCCCAGAAGGCCAACGCACACGCCTTCATCACGGAGTTACAAGACGGCTACCACACAGGTACCAAAATCCCTCCGTTTGCACTTGAAAACATTTTGTGCCTAGGGAAGGCAGAACCTCTCCCCTCGGGTGGAAAGTCAGGCAGGTAGTGACGGACACGAGCCTGTGGCAGGTCGGGGGCCCCTGGGGGCCGGGAGCCTGTGGCAGCTCGGAGGCCCTGTAAAGGCAGTTACATGGAGAGGTGCAGCACCCTGGCTGCCTTTTGGGGTGACTGAGCTGCCGCAGGATTTCTGATCCCATCCCGGGCGAGCATTTCTGCTGCTGCTCTGTGGCAGTAGGATGAGTGTCCCCCATCCCGTCTGGACCAGTCTGGCTCCCAGTGCCTGGCAATGTTACGGAGATGTGGCACTGGCAGTCTCGCTGTTTTTCAGTGCCATGACCAGGAGAAAAGCCCAGAACCCAAGCAGTTAGCTGTGTACCGCCCCGCCTGCATAGGGAGAAAAGAAACCTGTGATAAATCCATAGTAATAAAAGCTGATGTGTTTGTGACAGCGGGACTTTGTGAGGAGGCAGGTCAGACTGATGATAGTTCATGTTTATGGGAGCCAGCAGTGATGCAGCTGCATGGGCCAGGGCAGGAGCGGGGCTCGGGGTTTGGATGATCTTCCAGGCTCAGGGACTTCTCTGCGTTATTTCCATGAGCATCAGTGCTTCAGACCTTGGGACAACAGCGGAGGACTTGCTGCTGGAGGGAAGGACTGCAGCCTCGGGGATGTTTACTCATTTAAACTGTTCTGCCAAGTGCACAGAAGTGTTTACCTGGTCTTTGCTTCAAACACCATCCTGATGCTGCTGGCTGAGAGCTGAACTTGGTGGCAGCTCTTGATTTTTATTTTCACCCTTTCCTCTCCCTCTTGACCCAACAGAGGCAGGTGAAAAAGGAGCCCAGCTGTCAGGTGGCCAGAAGCAGAGAGTGGCAATTGCCAGGGCCTTGATCCGAACCCCCCCCATCCTAATCCTGGATGAAGCCACAAGTGCATTGGATGCGGAGAGTGAACATGCGGTGAGTAGGTGACTCAGGTGTTTGGGCCAAAGAGGCAATCTGGGTTTGGAGGCAAGACTAGCTCCAATTTCCAGCCTGTGGACAAGCTTAGTCTTGACACGGTGCAATCAGAGGTTTGGGTAAGACGCTAATTCCTGAGCAGAAATTTGCTTCCCACACTGCTGTAGCCACCAAGAAGAGAATAATCCTGTGCTCACAGCAGCCAGTGCCTGGCAAACCTGATGAGATAGGGATCTCTGCCCATTTTTGAAATGTGAAAAGTGTTAATTGGCATACAGCAGCACTGTGCAGCCTTTTAGGACAACATACAGAGGAAGACCCTAAAAATGGTACTTCAGCAGGCAGAGTAGGACTGCCCGAGCTAAAATCCCAGCTGAGGCACCAAAGAAACCATGCTGGCAGGAAAGGCCCTGAGCTTTCTGTGAACTGAGCTGGGTTTATCTGTCTGGGATGTCACAACCAAACAGCTCTACCAGTAGCAGTTTGGCCTTGCTGGTTTAATGACATGAGGGAATGCTAGTTCAAGGTCGAGATGTGAGGACATGTCTCCCGGTCCCAGAGGATGAGCGCTGCCAGCCCATGGTGTGGGGCACCACAAGCATCTGACCTTGGAGCAGCTTGTGGGTGTGCAAGTCCTCAGCCACCTGTGTGGCATCTGATGCCAGCCAGGGGCTGGTTTTGGCTAGCCAGGGGTGTCAATGTGACATGTCGCTTGGTGGCCATCTGCCTGCTGTTAGACCTTAGTGCCATTGTCTGTCTTTTGGTGAGAAAACAACTCCCTCTTGCTTTGCCTTGATACACCTAGGAAATAGCTGTGCTTTTCTGAACAGCTGCGTTTACAAGGTATTGGCTTCCTGCAGTCCATGCCAACACCATGTGGCCTCCAAATTTGGGGCCCAGCTCTAACAAGAACCCAGCTTGCAGGATCAGACCTGGCAGTGCGTGTGTGCGTACCGCACCTGCGGGCTGGCTGGACTGAGATGGTCTTTTGGGCTGCAGGGCGAGAGCCAGGAGCTGGGATGGACATGCTGGTGCTGGTAGTGCTGCAGGGAGTCTTGTGGCTTCTGCGTAGCCAGAGGAGAGAGCAAACCTCCCATCCAGAGGTTTCTTAACACAGACCACAAAGCTGCTGTTCTTCCTTCCAAAGCGGAGCCAGTGACGCTCGGGCACTAACGTCTTCTCCTCCTGTGCAGATTCAGCAGGCGATTTACGGCGACTTGCAGAACCACACGGTGCTTGTCATAGCTCACAGGCTGAGCACTGTCGAGAAGGCACACAACATCATTGTGCTGGACAAGGGCCGCGTGGTGCAGCAGGGCTCGCACAAGGAGCTGATGGAAGAAGGAGGCCTTTATTCCAAGCTGGTGCAGAGACAGATCCTGGGGTTGGAGGGAGGCGGTGCCGACAGTCGCCAACCCGCAGCCCGGGGGGATTCAGCGAAGGCGCCCAGCGGGCTGGAGGAAGAGTTCAGGATAGACCATTCCCTGCCGGCCGTGGCACAGGACGATTACAACACCACAGCTCACAAGTGAGAGCGGCGAGGGCCGGCGCTTGAGACGCTTGCTGGGACGCTGAGACAGGAGGCGGCTTGCCGACGGGCTCGCGCGCTGCAGAACGACGCCCGTTTGCTCACCCACGCGCGTCACACACCCGTGCACACACAAACACACACTATAGAGCTTCCTGCATTACGGTCCGGCAGGCAGATGCCGGCTGGTTAAACAGGGAAACAGATTTGTTTGAGGGAGTTGGGTCTTTAGCAATTCCCAGCATTTCTACTGGGTTTCTTTTCTTACTACCAGTAATTCCTCTTGACTGGGACTTTTCTCCCATTGATATGCATGTGTAACTGCTATTAACTGTAATGGATGTTAAATGCATGCATGGAGGGGAAGATTGAAAACCCCTTCAGGAATTTCAGGGGGTGGCTTTTGTGGCTGGATAGAAAAACAGTGACTATAAACCAAGGTCCTGCTCCCACCATCAATCTATGGGGCCAATCCAAAGTCTGCTGAAGTCTGTAGGGAGCTTCCCTTTGGCTTCGGTGAAAACTGGATCACTCCCATGGGGCTGAACACCGGGAGAGTTTTGCACTGAGTGCCTGCAGGCTCAGGCTCACAACCATCGCTGCTGAGCTTGTATCGCGTAGTAACCATCCTTGCTGGAACGAGCCAGGGGACCGGGAGGCAGATGTTGCTTTCAGATTTGCTCTTGGTGCTTGGTGGGTGTTTGTTTTTAAGGATGAAAAGTTTTACCATAATTGGGTTAGGTTTTGGGTTTGGGGTTTTTTTTGTTTGGGTTCGTTTTTTGGTTTGTTGGGGTTTTTTTTATATATATTTGTGTGCACTGTGCAATGTCTGTCTGGCTCCAGCATCCATTGAAAATTGGTCTGTTATTCCAGAATTTTTTTTAACTCACAGCCCCGATGCTGGTTTGAAAAAAAACACTACTAAAGACAGGCATAAAATACTGAAAGACAGCACTTTATAAATCCCACCAAAGCTTTGTTCAGCTTCAGGCCATGCTAGCGACTTCACTGCATGGGAAATCCATACAGTCACTTTCCTTGAAGTCTGACTTCAGCTGCCTGAACTTTAAAATGTGTTTCTTTGAATATTATTTATTAACTTACTTTTAGTATGAGGGATAGAAAGAAATATGTTGCTCCTAGCCCTGTTGGGTAATGACTCTGGCTTAGTAGTGTTACCCTGCCATAGACTGGTGAAGAAACCTATGCAGCCAGGCAGGTGCTATTCAAAAATAGCATTTATACGGGGAAGATTGACTTCAGACTGTGCATAGTTAAGAAATTATCTCAAGCACTTTAGCTCTCATGTTTTCCGATATTTGAATGCTGCTGTGTTTTACTTTTCAGCATTTTTGCATTTTTTGTTGCTGGCGATGTTTTGTTTTGTTTTTTGGGTTTTCTTTGTTTGTTTGTTTAGTGATATTTTACAAACTCTTTAGTGTCCTTGAGGAGGGATGCTCAAAAAATAAAATACTACCTCTGCCACTCAACACTGAGCCAGTCTAGTGGGGGTGTTCTTTGCATTCATGGTTTTCAAGGTAACGTTCATCTGAGATGATGGCTGAATACAGCTGCACACTGCACATGTTCTGGCTCCCTTGCGGGGAACGAGAAGAACCTACAGAGAATTGGGTATGTAAAAGACTTCAGCATCTGATAATGGCTGTGAGCCCCAGCAGTAGGTATAACCTGTTTAAGAACTTGTTTTCATCCCGGATCCCATCCGGTAGACAGTCTCACACGAAAGGGCAGGCAGTCTAACCCGTTCTCAAAGCACAGTGCTTCGTGACTGGAATCTTTTTAGCTGCTTGCTTTTCTGGTATGATAAAAATCTGTGCCTCGGAAGAAGGAGAGCTCTCTCTGTCTTATCTCCCTCCACTTAGGAAACCTCTGTTGCGCTCTGAACTCCTCAGTTCACCACTTCAGTAAATGGCCAGTACATTCCTGCGTGATGAAAATTTGCACTGTGGGTATGAAGAGGCTGGGGGTTCCACCCAGCGCCGGAGGGCAAGTGATTAATTCTGCATTTTTATCAGTACCTGTGAGCAGCATGTGGCCAGTGGTTCATACAACTGGAATTAATTTCTGCTTAATTGAAAAACTGGGGGGGGGGAATTGGGTTACCTGGGAACTAGGGAACCGACTCACCCTGGGACGTGCTGGTAGGACAATGCTCGTTAGTACAAGAGATGTCAGAAAAGAAAATTTGATCGCATCGTGTGTGTCCCTCCCAGGCAGTGCTGCAAAAAGGGGAACTGGAGGATACAATCAGATTGGTTTTATTGCAAAGACTACAGTGAATTTCAGGGAGGGAGCCCTGCTTCCCAAGCCTGTTGTGATGATAATCCCAGCATTGTACTCCCAGGTCAGGTCCAAACAGCTTCAACTGAACTGGCACGTTGGAAACGGCAGATTGTCTTTGCTGGTGGCACCAGTCCAAGCTGATAACAGGGCCCGACTTTGTTCATTGCCACAGGTGCTGAATTTTCTCTTTTGCATCCAGATAACTCAAGGCTACTTTTCCACTGTGCCTTACATCTCGTGGCTTGAACAAGTCCTTTCATTGTGCTGTCGGTGTGTGACAAGTGGCTCTGCCTGCATGCTAAAGCCATGAGGGTTTTCTTACGGCTTGGAAGCCTGGTGGGAGCTCCACACACCACCAGGAACCCAGCCTTATTCATCTAATGCAGACATTTCTGCTGGCCCAGTACAACCCCTGTGACTGTACAGAAAATCCTGCTTTTCAAAATTATTCCAACTATGACTTCTTTTGGAAGTTAAAACTGGGGTCAGAGATGCCCGTTAGCCAACCCGGCAGTGAAGATGAGCTTAACCCGGTGCAGCAGTGGGAATTGCTCCAGTGCTGGAATATGACCCGACTCCTCGAGCTGTCTTGTCCCTTGGGCCTCGCTGTCTGTGGGCAGTCTCTGTTTTTCAGGCTATTCTCCTGGAAACAAGGCCACTGTTCCCTCTGAAACCCTGAACTGTAGTATTTTGTGGCTGTGGATTTGCCCAGAGTTGACATTTACATGGGAACGTGAACAAGATCTCTTCAGGAGCTTCTCAATTACAGCCACGCAGATAAGTTTCTTCTCCTCAAAAGGAAGAGTCTTCTCCGCGGGGAACTCGGATGGGTTTGTCTGAAACCTTAACTCAGGGAGCAGGGCTTGAAGACTGTCATGGCAGAGCTGGAAGCAATTAGGCATTTGAAAGCACAATTGATTACAAAGGTTGACTCTATATTCCATAGCAGGTTGTTTTCCTCACTATTAATAAGCTCTAACCATTCCCTGTAATAGGTATAACCACAGCTTTATTTGATTTAAACATTGGAGAGCCCTATCCAAGATGAAGTTCCAGAGTAGATCCTATAGTCCTAGCGATTCCCCAAGGATGTGTGTTTACCCCTGCACAGACAAGGTATGTGGCTGACTGACCCAGTAAACGAGAACACAGTGTAATGGGAAAAAACACAGCTGTGTTTATTCCAACAACTTGTCTCCCGGTGCACCAACTTCTGCCTCAATAAGCAACTGTGTGTGTTTCAGCGGCTGTGCTTTCTAAGCCTGCAGCAGGTCTGGAAATACCACAAGTAAATAGAGAGAGTCCTTCTAGCTCAGGTTCAGAGATGCATCTTAGACCGGGGAGGAAAAACAGTATCTGTCTTTTCTACTCTAGCTTCACGGTGAGCTTAAGGCAAAGAAAGCATTTGCAGGTATATACCTTGCTCCTCTTCTCCTGCCTGTGGCTCCCTGAAAGAAAGGAGGGAAGTACTGACAATTAATTCTTGCTCTCTCAAACAGGACCACTGTTTCTCTCCCAGGACTCTGCATATGCAGGTCATTTTCATGTGTGAAGGAACCTAGATTATGAAATCTAAACAGAAGTATGGACTGTGATTAATATATAGAAGGAAATTAAATTGCAAATAAGCCTGAAAACTTATCTGTCCATTGAGCAACCAGACTAATAAGAGTTAATAAAAGCCAAAGATTAGACTTGCAAATTCAGTCTCTACATAACCAACCAGTTTTTCCAGGAAAAGAAAAGAAGTTGTTGTGAAGGTGACTTGCAAAATATGTCTGAATGTAATAAATATGCATGAGTACAGGGCTACTGACCGTAAAAGGATATCAGGTGACAGAAGGAAATCCAGGATCAAGTTTAAAAAGAAAAAAAAAAATCTAACATCTAATTTAAGCTAGGCTAGATGCCAGTTCTCCCCAAGACCGAAGCCTGACTCCTTATTCACCATGACATGGTTTCCACTGTAATCTTCCCAATTTTTTTGTTCCATTTCTCCTGTAATAAGTACACTTCTGTACTTTTCCTGCTCAGAGTTTTAATGTTCATGAATACTGTCACCCTTCAGAAGGATTTTAGCAAAGGCAAATGGGAACCAGGGCTTGGTGGCTGATAAATCTCAGCCTGCAGCACTGCAATATTTGATAATCCCTGTAGCCTGAAATCCTAGTTTATCTGCAATCCTTCATATTCTGTCCAAGTGATGCACCGTCACAAAACCTTTATCTTTCGTGAAAACTGTTGAATGAAAAGGCACCCTCCTACCTGTTTAAGTAGAATATATAATGATACAAAAGCAGCTGACCCCTATCTTGTCTCTCAACCTCAGCTGCTTTTCTGGCCAGTCTTGAGAACGCAATCACATGCAGATGCTGATCAACGTACTCAAAAGCAGACCAGATGTTTAATGTAGACACTCCTCTCCAGCATCCCCAGAACCCAAACATATCGACATAGGGAGAAGTGGTATTTTTAATACATGTTGTACTTGAGCACCAAATGAGTTATGTTCATTTGTGAATTTTGTGAGGGCTTCATCGTTCTGTATTATGCGGCTTCTAACATTAAGAGAGATTACCATTGACTAATTCAAATAATCCATTCCTGGATGTCTAGAGCTCCCATCAACCCCACGCAACATAAACAAAAATTAGGTAGTTACAGAAAAGCTCCTTAGAAGGTCACTGTAAACCATCTTTC